AATATCTTTGAAATACTAGTCTTCGGGCTTTATACTAACTAGAACCATAATAAACCATTAGATATCTACGTAAAATTAGCTTTCTGAGTCAAATAGTTGCCGATGTCGATAAGATCCCAGTCAGAATCTACTTTTTCGCCTCTTATTGCATCGAAATCTAACTTAGAAATGCAGATAGATAATGAAAACCCTTCCTTTTGTTGATTTTGAAGCGATATCGCCATCTATAGTGTGTTTGGTTATTGCTTCAACTTAATCGTAATTGGTTTAGTTACTTTTAGGTAATCCTGAACAAGATTCTGTTGTTAATTTCAATTTGAGAAATTATCTAAAAGTACTAAAAGTGACTTTAGTCGATCCGATACTGAAAACCGTTTCGTATCTCTTTAGTAAGATCTATCCAGCTAATAGTTCTTCTCTCTTCTTCTTCTTTTGTTAAATACTCTCAGTTGGCCGTGACTTTAAGTTCACGCAATAAGCAAAACAAGGTATTAGTGCATTTTTCAAAGACCTATCCAATAAAAAAAAATCTAAATCAACCCATAAACAAAGATTTACAAGTGTAGATGGCGGTTCAGAATATTCCCAGCACAGGGACACGCTGTATACTTTCATGCAAAATCTCACTGTTTTCGATATTTTTGTTAATTAACCATTATTTGGGAAATGTTTAGGAAATAGTTCATCGAACAGAAACTAATGATGTTTATTTCTTATTTTAAAAAAATTCTATAAATTTTTATAAACATAAACGAAAGGCAATAAACAAAAAAATCAAAATCGACCCATAAACAAAGGTTTTACAAGCGTAGATGGCGGTTCAAAATATTCCCAGCACAGGGACACGCTGTATACTTTTATGCAAAGTCTCACTGTTTTCGATGTTTTTGATAATTCACCAATATTTGGGAAATGTTTAGGAAATAGTTCATAATGATGTTTATTTCTTATTTAAAAAAAATTCTATACATTTTTATAAACTTATAAAGGTAAGGTGATTATTTAATAATATTTTTGAATAATAAATTAAAAAAACGGTCTAAAGAAGACTTTCATATTAGATAAAAATATATAAGGTTTTATTTTTTTTAAAAATGAAGTTGTTGAGTTTTTTCGGTGTTCATTAGTATTTATTGTTACGTCTGGAAGGTAATAGGGAAAAAGACTATTTGTTTGCTTTAGCAAACTCGGTGGGAGTGTGTTAAGATATAAATGAAAAACTCACATTTTTTGCAATAGATTTTAGGTAATCAGAGTAGGCACTAACCAAATTTAAACAAAAACTATGTCAGATTAAAATAGCGCTAAAATATTAACCATTAAATAATATTAAAAAAAGAATTTGGGGTTATGGGGAATGTAGTGTTTGTAATAATTTTTTATGGCTGGTCCATTGATAAAAATAGTGCCATACTGAGTATACGATTATGGAGAATACAACATATCAAACAATTTTTCCATAGACGCTTGATAACAACCTTAAAGTTTAATATGATTTTTGTTTTATTTCATAAAGTGCATAAAAACATTCCAATAATGTAATAATAATAATAACAACTTCATTATAAGTATTTTCCATAGTGAAAATTTTATACTCACCAAACTGTAATAATACAAATAATAATAATAATAATAATAATAATAATAATAATAATAATAACGTGTCATCAAATCCAGCTCGTGGACACCGCATGCCGAGACACTGGAGACCAGATTTTCAACAATTTGCTAATGCGTGCCATATTTGAATTGATAAAACCACCAAGTCGAAATCCCCATTAAACCTCTCGTTAACCCGAGGTTTGGGATGACATCGTTTCTACTAATTGGATCAATTTTTTGAATATATTAACCCCATTGCCCAAACTATCACCCGATAATTTTGGGCCTGATCCTTAGAAAATAAAAGTGTTTTAGGATGGTTAGCTAATCGGCTTTTCGGATTTAAGGGAATTTTAGAAATATTTTTTCTAAAAAATAAACTTGTAGCGAAATATTTTTGCCGCTTTTAGTGTTTCGAATAGCAAAAGCAATTGTTTAATTTTTATCGGTATGTAGAGTCCCGAACCTTTTAAACCAATTTCAATGCCTTCTGCTAGAAATTCAACCGAGAAAACACGAAATGTATTGTGATAAAGACTCTTTCATAGAGGGTGAAATTCGTCCATTTTTTGCTAACGCCAAAAAATCTTGAAATAAAATTTGGTTTTGGTTGCCAATTTTAATTTGAATTTTTTTTCTTATGCTTAAATTTGACTTGAAATTTGAGAGCTTATGCATGAATTTGCTAATAGACAATTTTAGAGTACAATTTTGACGTACGGTTAACTTATAAGCCTACTTTTTCTTTATTTGAATTGTTTCGCTGCTTTAAAATACATTCATCGATTATTTTAAACTAACATATTTTGAGAACGGTAGTTCCTAACTTCTTCTAATGATAGGAACCTTCTCTTGCAAAAATTATGTTAAGAATTGTTATCACCTACCCACAATATAATACAGAGAGGTACAAGAAGTCACGCGTATTTGCAAATGAGGAAAGACGTATAAGTGCGCCCAATATAAGAGCTAATTAAAATTAATAATTATAATTCAATGTTTTTATTTAATTTTCTATGTTTCTTATCAAAGAGCTTCCAAGCATTAATTGTGGTCCAGAAATTGATATTATTTACCAGATTTTGAAGAAAAAACAAAAATAAAAGTTTGGCACCCTGTATCTCGAAGACCTTAAAAATACTTGACAAAGCACTCTGTGTTTTTAGTTCAATTTAATCTTCATTTTATTCTAGGAACAAAGGGTCATTCAGGTTGAGTGTCTTATTCAAAGTTCTGGAGAACTCAATAGATTTTTTTTTCAAATTTTGTATGTGGCCACGCATTGCAAAATCAAAAATAGAACGCCATGTATATTAGTAGATTTTCTGCAGAAATTTTGTTAATTTTGTGAGATCTATGGCTTTCACTTTCTCATTCTTTTTTGAAGAATAATACCTCTTTATTAAAATTGAATATCATTATGCGTATTTGAGCTAGCCATTTTAAAAATTTTACAGTGGCTAGCTAATGTTTACGACTGAGATTATGATGGTAAGTAAAAAACCGTATTTGATTAAAAATGCAACTCTGCGTATTTGACATTAGCAATAATTTATGTACAACATCTTCATACATGTCCCTATCGGCAACCATTTCTGGGATTTGAGTAAATAAAGATTATTCATAGTTTGAAAAATCCAGGTAATAAAGATTTCTCTCATAAATTATTAATATGGGTAAGCTCGCTTATGTTTTAAGTCGCCTTGAAAATGGCAAAATGGAAAATGCAAATTAATATTTAAATCTTGATACTCATGTCAAACCATTCCTACATTGTTTAAAAATGAACGAAGAATTTAGGGCTAACGAGTAAGTATACTAAAATTATCTGATAACCAACCAAAATAAATAAAACAAAAAGCTTAATTGAATTATGGTGGTAACGGGGACATATATGGAAATTTTGTATATAAATTATTGAACTGCTTAACGGTAGTGTCAAATAAAGGAAGAAAGAAAAATGAGTTCTTGGTGCTACAGAATATATTTCAAAAGTGTATCAGTGTGTGAATTTCAGAGGAGATGTAAATAGTGTTAAAGTAATCTTTGAAAAATTAAAACAGCAAAAAAAAGAGATACCTAGAATTTTTCGTAAAGTTAAAAGTGTAAATTCTGTACTCTGAAAGTACTCATTTGTATAATTTTATACTCATTTGAATTTTTAAAATAGTTTTTTATATTATTTTATTTCAATTAACCAAAACATTTGTATAATTTTATACTTATTTGTATTTTATTAGATTATTATTTCAATTTTATTAATTAAATTAAATATGTAAATTTAGTTTAATAGTGATTTGAATTTCGCGCGCCCATATGGCTGCCCTTTCCGCCACAATTAAGAGGCCGTATTATGTACCTGGAGAGGTAGATAATAGAGACCTTTTTTTCTACGAACGTCAAAATTACATTTGTGAAAAGAGATGGATATATCTATGTCTCCAATATTTGTGTACGTAATCCTCAGGCAGAGCTTTGATGTGCAGTATATACGGCATGCTCATAAAAATGATATTAAAAATATAATTTTTAGATTATTAATTCAAATATGAGCGATGACAAAAGAAGGAAAAATCGTTTAAACCAAAATTTAAAAAAGATTTTAAATTCATTGTTGCTAAAAATTGAAACGATCACTGCTTTGTTAAATGCACAATCTGCAATATGGAATTCCTGGACGTAGTGCAATAATGGCACACATTGAAATTAAAGTACATAAAACGTGTCATGACACAGCAATTCAACATCCAAACTGACATTTTTTTAAGGGAATACTTTTTTAACTAATGAAAAACAATTGGCAGTTATGGAGGGTACTTTCGCTTTTCACACACAGCACAGACTGCGCGACTAAATTACTAACAAAACAATTGCGACGAAAAATGCTGCAGCAAAATGCCATCAGAAAAACTGAATTCTGTATCATATAAAACTTTATCCAATTTTAGTAAGGTATTTCGAAATTAAGAAAGGTACTCAAATTAAGATTTTAAATTTGTAAAAACATTATCTGCCGGCTCAACAGTCAAATTTAATATATAAAATGAAAGTTGTTTATTCGACGAACATCCTCAGTTAGCAAAAAAAAACACTCCGAAGTAAAATATGTTTTTAAACGAAAATAAAGCTTTTATCGTTTTTTCTTCTTTTTTTTCATCTTTCAAATACTTGCAAATACTTGCAAACAAACAAAAAATAGTTGGTCACCTAAATATTGTGTCCCTGCTGTAGATTTCGATATTTCATATTACGGAAGCAGCTTTGGCGGGATGGAGGACGGACTACGTTGGGATGCGAATCGCCACCCTCCGGCACTCCGGTCTATAGAAACACTCCGCAAGTGCTTCGAAAAACAGTTGCGAATCGGCCGCCGTCGCGACGCCTGGAGAAGCCGGGACTCGTCAGTTAATTCCGGGGTGATATCGCGATCGTTTCGCAAAAGTTCCGTCGAACTTTCGAACTCGAAATTTCGTGGGGTCTCTTGTATCTCGGTCCCTGAAATCTTACGACCGTTTTGAATTTTTGAGCACCAGAAATAATTGGGTGAGTGAAGTCCATGGCTTTAATTTTTTTTTGGTAGGGAAATCAGTTGCATTTTTCAAGAATGAAGAATAATATAATTAATTAATTTTAATTCAAACGATAAAATTTTTTATTGTTTCATTTTTGACTACGCCACTGGAATTAAAGTGGTTTAGACGAGGGCAGTCAAATTTGAAAAAAAAAATTATAAATCTTTTCCTAATATGGCAATTAACTTGTCTTAAAATAATATTATCTACTGATAAAAAGTTAGAAGTTTAACCTATAATTTATTAAATTTTTAGATTCACCGCTTCTAATTATTTTTGCTGTGCTATATTTAATATTTGAAATTTTGGTTGCAATTTGTAAGATATCTACATATTATGTTTATCTAGAAAACTTTATTCTATAGTATACAAATTTATTTGAAACTAATGATCCGAAGTCACACAAAAATCAATAATAATTTTTTTTTTGATGAAAACATCTGCATATTATTTAAAATTCTAAAAGGTAATTAAATTTCCTTTAAAAAAATATAGAATAGTAGTATTTTTTCCGATAAAATAGAAAGAATTATAAAAATTGGAAGCTAACCAAACCAGTTTTATATAGTCTTAAGTAAAGTTTTCTGTGGTGTCATATTTGGGAAAAAAAGAAATTAACTAAAATTATAAAAACCGCTGTAAATAGCTATGGATTAACAAAAAATACTCCGAAGAACGCAGGTAAAAAATATGTAGTATTCCATTCAAAATAAAGTATATGTTATTATTGGGAGAGATAAATATTTTAGAAAATCTAACTATCACTCAGTTTCATCCTAAACACTGCAGTTAACGAATCGAATTATAGCAAAAACTAAAGAAAATTCAAATGAACAACTCTCCAAAGTTCTCCGCAAACCGTTACATCCGTCCGTTAAAAGAGATGCTGGGATATGTGTACCAACAAATAAAGCGAACAGGTCGGTAGTGTTGCATATCTAAATTAAAAAAGTTCAAAGTTTGCGGCACCGCTTTTATTCGTACAGAGCTTGGCGATAAACGTTGATAATCAATTAATATTGTTATCACTATGTTTTTGTATCCCGCCTTATGGTATCTCCTTCGTATATCCATTAAATCAACCGTCGACGTACGTAGGTTTTTGACGTTGTTATTAAACGACATTTACACAGACAGATGTAAATATTAACATATAATATACTATAGAAGAACGGGACGCATTGCGTACTATAAATTTTTTATCCAAAACAGCACGAATACGTTCACTAACTGAGGCCCGACGGGATATGTGAAAAGAAGAAGAATAAGAAGAAGAACTAACTGAGGTCTGACGTGCCAGTCAGAACTGACAAACATTTAAATACCAAAAAAAAAACAGTTATATTGCCAACTTTGATGTATGAAAAACACGTTCGACTTCTGATTTTGAAGTAAAAATATTAAAATAAAAATTAGTGATAGTCTAACAAGCCATATTTCCACCAAGTCGCCATTCTGTGTATTTATTTTCGTCTCCTGTCATTTGAAAATAATCACTGGGTCATTTACATATGACATTACTTTTCCCTCTACACTTTATTTAGTCAGAGACCTAATATTCAGATGAAAGATCATTGGAGGATGCGGAATTACAATTTACATTATAATTCAAGAGTCAATAAAGACTGTGATCTATTTTTGTCATCACCCGTGTTAAAAGTCTTGACCAGATCTATTAAAACCAACCTTAACAAAAACTCTTTTTGTGGCATTGTTCATGCTTTTACCAGTCAGTTTTTTTTTTCTTGAGCCGTAACATCACATGTTATAAATGCTGATAATGACCATACTATGATTTGACATTATTGTCAATTGTCATCTTAGACAATTTACTTGTTGGTGATTCTGCGATTTGCAAAGTAATTTTTAAAAAAAATTATGAATAAAGCGAGAACGGTAGTTGACGTTTGAACCCTTTTATTTGCGCTTGACAGAAAATAAGTTTCTTTTAAGAAAATTACCGTATACTATGGAACGATTTTTTTTTCAACAATGTCCCCCCCTTTGTCAACTTTAAGTCGTTCAGTAACCTTTACGGGACGCTAATGAGGCATTTACCGAACGAGCTTTCGTGCTTTGAAAGTTAACGAGTTTTTTTGGATGTTGGTATCACTATCGGCTGAACAAACATCGCAAACTGTGCAATTCAATATGGTAGTTAATGAAGTTTTCGTTTCGAATGCGATCCAAATTGCATTATTTGTGTATTCAATCTCGATTTGGTTTTGTTGTTTAAAATTAAACAAGCCAAATTATTGTCAGCGGAAAGCAAAAAAAAAAAACTCGTGCACTGTGGAAATGTTATTGCCAAACGAGCGATCCAAATATCTTTAAAAACATCGCAACCACTGAAACAAAATAAATGATCCGGTTAAGTCGATATTTAAATATTTACTTATCATTAGAGGTTTACATTCATTACGTCAGAGAAATTGTGGCGAATTTCAACACACTGGCGAAATAATATTTGGATACATACTCGCGTTTGTAAAGCAAATCGCATACGATAAGTTGGACCATTTGTCGGTACGTACAGGGTGGCCAAAAACTGCGTGAATAGGGCACGTTAAAATAACATCAGACGTTCGCAAACTGACATTTACTGAGTCAATAGAGTTAGATCAGAAAATTTACATGAAAATGACACCTTAGTCCGGTAAAACATTTTAGGGGAATCTTTTTATTAATTGCTTTTTTTTTGGCTTTTACTTGATGAAAATCCATTTATCAAAATAAGAACTAAAGTTCAGATTTTCACAAAATTACATATTTTTTTACATGACAATTGTTTCGACAACACCGTGTCTTTATCAAATGTAATATTTACAAACTACCTGTTACTATATATACAGAAAAATGACCATAAAACTTTAATTAATGTGGTTGTGAGAATTTAAGTTCAATAAAGGACAGGGATTTAAATCTCGTTAAGCAATACATTTGGATGTTTCATTTTGTTAATCTCCATGGCCTCCAATAAATTTAATTTTCCACTTTTTGTGGTTGTACGTAAAATATTAAAATTTTCGTCAAAAATGTGTTTTTCTGTCTCTAAGTGTGTAACATAATTAGAATCTAGATTATTGTTTCTCAACGCTCTTTTATGTTCGTTAATACGTTTCTGAAGGATCTACCTGTTTGCCCAATATAAATTTTAGGACAAGATCCGCATTTCAAATTTTTAAAAAACAATAAAACGAAATGTCCAAAATTTCAAAAGTCAGGTGTTTACAGGTTGAAAAGCGAATCTTGTCCTAAAATTTATATTGGACAAACAGGTAGACCCTTCAAGAAACGCATTAACGAACATTAAAATGTGTTTAAGTACAATAGTCTAGATTCGAATTATGCTACACACTTAAACAGAGAAAAACACATTTTTGACATTTTACATAGAGCCACAAAAAGTATGAAATTAACAAAATAAGACGTTCAAATGTATTGCCTAACGATCAATTAGATTTAAATACCCCTCCTTTATTGAACTTAAATTCCCACAACATTAATTAAGGTTTTATTGTCATTTTTCGGTATATTTAGCAGCAGGTAGTTTATAAATTGTTGTCGCAACAATTGTCATGTAAAAATATTAACACCACTCAACACTCACACACTCGAATATAAGCATTCTGAAGTCATTGGAGTCTCTCCTCATCTCAATTTACTATAGTAGATGACATATCACAGAGTTTATGTTTGACTTCTTTACTGAGATGTTTATGAATACACATTGTCCCTAACTTATAGAAGGATTTTTGTAACACCGAACCAACATGCTTAGAAAACCGCAAGTAACCAAACTATAATTCTAAAGGTTAACACCCTTGCGAAGGAGAAATAATCTGATCTTTTCTGATTATTTAGCGTAATCTTAAAAGAGGCGTTTCTTACAATTTCTTCCCTTTTTGATAGTATTCAATAAGAGATTATGAGCCGCAGACACCTACGACATTATTTTTATATCCAAACTTCTTTTAGTAGCAGCATTTAAAGCTTCACTAGCAACAAGAGATAACTGAGTATCATCGGTGAATTGATGATATTTACAAAACTTAAGAAAAGTAGAGAAGTCGGCCCTTTTACAAAGCAATAGCATCTGATTGAGAATTTCCTATAACTACTCTTTGGTATTTCTAACAAAGAAAATTTTTAAAAAATGAAAGAGCAGTAGGTTTTATCCCGAACTATTTCAGTTTACCTAAGAGAAGGAAATGATCCAAGCTGTCGAACGCTTTACTGTAGTCGAAGAGTTTAATTTAAAATCAGCTGCTCTCAATAAATCATCAGTAACATGAAGCCAGGCAGTGCTATGAAGAGGCCGAGAACCTGATTGAGTGTCTAGCAGAATTTTTGTTATTGAATAGGAACCGACGAAGTTAGCTGCAATTTTTTCAAAAACCTTTGAGATATTTGGCAACAAACTGTTTGGTCTAAAATCGTTAATGTCCCTTGGACACTTTGTCACTTGTTAACAGGGAAAGTGATATTATGATCGACTAAATATGTAACAGTCAAAAGAATGATTTTTATATCAATATTGTCTGAGCCATGAGCGTTAGTTTTAATACTATTCAAAGTTTTATTAATATATATCAATACATATATTAATATACCCAGTTTGTAAATTTCTTAAATGGTTGTAGTAAGGTATTTCTTAAAGTGGTGATTTTAATGAATTATTTAGTTGGTTTCACTCGTATTTATTTTCTTAAGATCACCTCGCATCCCCTATATTTCTTTCTTACTTATGGATATAATTTTCTTTGTCCGGAACTTGATGCCTTTGAAACTTTTTTTATTTAATTTTCTCTCTGAGGTACTTCGTAAAAAAAAAGTTTCAAACTAACCAATTTGCCCAATTGTGCAGTTCATTACTGGATGTCGTAAATTGACAGAAAAATTTTGTTTGTCAGTTTTGAAATCCGCATCAAAAGGCAAGTCAAGACATTCCGTATGTCATTTTTGATTACA